TGTCGCATAGCCCGACCAGCCCAGGATGTCACCCAAGGAAGCACGGCGAGGCAACCCGTCGAGGTCGCGATCTGGAAGGCCAAAAGCCAAAGCAACAGTGGCTCCGGAGACCTCTTCATCTGATAGCCCACCGAGCCCACCGAGCTCAGGCGAGGAGGCCACCGCTCCACCAGTTGCTACCACAAGTGCTCCAGCAGGGCCACCCCCCCCAGTGCCGGTCAACAGGCCAAGAGGCAGCGTTGGATGTGCCACAAGCAAGCCCGCGGGGCCGCCCCCGCCGACTCCGGCATCCTGCACGTCTTTTCCGACAACACCGGTGCAGGCCTTTGCTGCCATGGCTCCAGGGGGCTTACCAGCAGGTGCTCCACCAAGCACAGCGCCTATCACTTTTGCAATGGGGGCTGTTCCCACGCTCCCATCGCCTACTACGACCTTGCTGCCTCCTCCGACTGCACCCCCAGCATCGAGTGTCAATGCAGCGGAGGGAGTTTCGGGCATACCAGCTGGACATGTGCAGCAGCAGCCTGCCACCATCACGACCAAAGTGGCGGGCTGGACTTTCACGCTCACGGTTAGGCCACCGAGTTGAGCCACAAGACACCAGGTCTTATGGTGGCCAGGCACGAGCTTTCTGCAGAGCTAGCACCACAGGTGCAACTGACAGCTGTCAGCTCTCTGCCGTCTCTTCCTGTATGCAGACTTGTCGTTTTGTGCCCAGCAGCCTCTTGAGTTGGACTCACAAAAGACGTGCTGTCTTTGTCAGCGTGCTAGTACTGACACCTCTTCGGAGCCAACTGTCACTGCTATCTTGGACTATCCTCCATGCTGACTGTACTGCCCAGGCCGTCCTCATGGCAGACTTCGATAACTTCGCGAAGGCACCAGGTCAGCGGCGCCCCCCATCTGCACTTGGCGCACCCCTGCCTAACGATGCTCGCCACAGGTATCAGGTCCCTCGAGACGCCCACTTCGGTGTTCTTCTTGCCCACCACGGGGCTTGGATCTCAGTCTTGCTGCTGCAACCCGTGCTCAGCCAACATGAGACTCTGCCGTACTCTTGTATGCATCTTGCAGCCCCACCATGTGGTTACCGCGTGTGCCTGCAGCTTTCCACAAACCAAGCCTCATTGAAGACTCTGGAAGAGTATGTGGTACCTCAGCAGCCTGTCACTACTTCTGCCCGCTTTGCATCCCTTAGGGCTGGGAGACCTCTTGCAGAATACTCGCAGGTACCTTCTCCACAACTTCTTAAGTCAAAGGACTACCCTGTGTTAACGTGCCCTACCTGTGCCCTTCGAGGGATCATGGAGCCAGCCTCCGAGCATAGCTGGCCACATTGGCAGGCAGCACTCGTCCCGCTTACAGTGGGGACCGAAGTAGAGGTGATCGACGGTCACAGACGTCACCTTGTCGGCCGCCGAGCGATTGTGCTCCCTACCTTGGAGTGTGACCGCAACACCACGCGGAATGTGCGGATGATACAAGGCCCTCGAGATGAACAACGTCGTATTTTTACGATCGACAAGGAGCACCTCGTTCCCCGACTGGGGTTGGAAGCCACACAAGCTTCCATGTGTGATGGAATGGAGCCGAGTCTGAGGTGGAGATGTGCTCCCCCACCATTAACCATCTACAGCGCACGCTACCTCCTTGGCTACCAGGCCCTGGAGACCATGGTGCCTCCGGCGGCACCCAAACGGAGTCCGGCTGGCCACTATATCCATCCCCCGGTGGAAGACGCTTCGCTGGAGGCACCCTGGGAAAAACACGTTGACCCAGCTAGCGATCGGTCCTTCTACTACCACCCGGGGACAAAGCAGGTGACTTGGCGCAAACCACGGCCTGCCCTGGTCCTTCCGAGGGAAGAGGAGATTGGGCCCACCAAGCCCAGGCGAGGCCGGTCTGCGATACCACAGCCTCGCACTCCTAGTCCACCTCCTCCCAAGAGGGTGAGAAAGCATCCCACCACTGATGCTCGGCAGAGAACTACGAGCTCTGAGGCCCAGTCGTCAGCTTCTACCGCAGCCAAAGGGGCGCCAACTACAGAGAGGAAGCCCGCTCCGGCCTTTGATCCTCAATCCTCTGGTGGTCCTTCTGAGTGGAACCTGGCAGATCATGCTTTACCTGCCTCTCCAGATCGGGTACTGATCTGGGGAGCCAAAGCCAGGTCACAGCTACCACAACCGCCGAGTGCTCCTGCCTGTACTCTGGACGTGGAAAGATTTCTGCAGAGCTTCTTCAGGACACGGCAAGGCCCAGATGGCACATCCCTTGCCACCTTACTTGGTGACCCAGTCCCGCAACCTGATGGTTGGTGGCGTATCCCGTGGACACCGCTGGAACCATCGCACTGCGAGCTGCTGTGTCCGGATGGTTGGCTACGGGGCTGGCACGGATGCAAGATGGAGGCACTATACTCCATCATCTACCATGGACAGCTTCTCCCGAGCACCGATGAGTCGAAGGGTGACAGGTTCCTGGCAGGCTGTCCAGGGGTGTATCTGCACCGAGACAGCCTGCAACATAAGGTGGAGAACTATATGAGATGGATACCACTATGTGGAGATGGTCTCTTTTGGGCTGCCAAGTGGGAGGTGGTGTATGCTCCCTCGGGGAGCAATAAGCATGGCAAGCGCACTGATCAGGTTATACAAAGTGCTGAATCGGTGGAGCTGGTTGCCCTCTGGCTCTCAGTGCGCTCCGAGAACATGCTGCCTGACGGAACTGCTGTGCAGGCCAAATGGACTCCAGCACGCGAGGCCAACCCATGCCTCACTGAGCTCAAGCGAAGAAGCAGTGCTCTGTTACAGACTGTGGATTTCACGGAACTGTCTGCCTCTTCCAGGCCTTTGCCCAGCTCCAGTTTGAGGCCTGACCCGGCGATCGACGACAAAGGCCGACTCAAGCCGACGCCTAAAGCACGCGGTCGCTTGTCGCACATCCCTTCTGAACTGGAGAAGGACCGGACGCCAGCACAAGCGAAGCTCACCATACAGTCGGGCAATCTGGTGCTTAAGTCGGCCACGGCAAATAGCTCGGAGACTCCCATTGCTTCGACCACGGTTTCGGCTGCTACCTCGGCCGTCCCGTCAGATTTACCTCAACGAGGACCCAAACGGGCTCGATCTGACGCTTCCTCTCCGAAACCACGGAAGATGCAGACAAGGCCCAAGCCGAGACGATCGATTTGGTTTGATGTCACGGACAATCCGGCTGACCAACCACTTTCGACCTCCTCAACTGTAGCCAAAGGCCGTGGCACTGGGACGATCAAGGCCGCCAAGCTCCAAGAACGTGTCCGCAGAAGGATGGCTAGGAAGATGGAGGAAATCTTCCAGGCCAATAGAGCCGCTGGACTTCACACGGACTCAGCTGCCTCCTCCAGTGCTGCATACAAGGATCCAGCCTACTGTTCATCATGTCCACGTCTGCATCGGCTTAGCCAGTCTTGCAAGAGGCAACACATGCCCCCCTCACATCGACCTGCCATGCTCCTTGTCTTCGCTCTTCTAAGGTCTAGCCTACCGGCGGCTCCGCCAGACCAAGATGACACAGGCGGGGATCGATTTACTGAGCGCCCGGAGTTGCAGACCTCTGCACCTAGGTTCGGGCAGCCACCTAGGTGGGTTCCCTGCTCACAAACCTTTGTTGCTTCCTCCACCAGCCACTGCCTGCAACATTTGTGGCTATCAGGCTTGTATCTTCTGACATGTCGGATGCCCGACGGCACGCCCGGACCCTTGCAGGTCCCTTCGTTAATCTACTGCGGCTTTGAAAGGCACCTGAGCTCTTTTCCATGTGCCTATCCAGGCCTTGAACGCCCAGTGTGCACATCCACGACAATGCCAGTCGGGCTCACATGGACCTACGGTGCCTCCCCACACCGTGATGATTATCGATGTGCCGTGCCTAGAGGTATGTCAGCTGCACTGGCAACAGGCCCTACTTTGCTGCATGCTTATTGTACTCGTGATGTTTGCTCAAGACCTCACACCTGGCAGGGGTGGCCAGACGCTTTCCTGACTGATCGACCTGAACATTGTCTGGTGTGCCTTCGACACACCAGACCATCTGCTGCTGGTCCTGCTTCGGTACGATGCCCACCTCCACCACCAGGAGCTGGTTTGCAACCCGACGGGCTCTCAGGTCTTGAGACTGCCACTCCCAAGCGGCTGCTAGCTCCATCTCGCGGTTCCCTTAGCTTGCCTTCAGGTCTGTCTTCGCCATTGGGCGCAGGCCAGTGGGTCGAGCAGGCCTCACTTCGGGACACCCACCTGTCCAATTTGTGCAGGATATCCCGGGCACGTGGCTGGCCTATCGTCTGGCGGACCCATGCTGTGAGTGGTGTCGGCTTGAATACCGTAGATGTACCCCCTATGCCACCCGTATGCAACAAACTAGCACCTCGCAGGCTAACAAGATCAGATCCCGCGAGCCTGTTTCTGCCGAGCAGTTGCAACCCAAAGTCTCCCCCCCGGCACTGGACCTGCACACTATGGATTAGCTGCGTAGACAGTCTGCTGCACCGCACTTCGAAGTCGATGCCAGCATTTTTGACAACATGGACAACTAGCACTCTCAAGTGCCCCTCTCATAATCTCAACATACCTGCCCTGAGCCACTCCGGTCCCAATTCCGGAGACCGACATTTTCGTACGGCTGACAACCTGTCATCTCTCAGACACCAGTTGGTTGTCCATCTAGCCTCCGAACAGTCGGTAGGGGCGAGGGTTGTGAGCGGCTGCCACCCGCTCACGAGACCGAAACTCACCTTCGTGGTGAGGGACGGGAAGCCGTGGCAGGAGCCCAATGAACTACACTCTGCTGTGAGGGCAGTCTTGCGAGACCCCCCACAAAACCACACTATTCGCTCTGACCTAGGAGTCACTCTAGGCACTGCCTGTTCCCCTAGCCTGACCTCCTCTCCGTTCTCAGTCATCTGTTCATCGTGGGCTGGTCAGAGCGACCAGACTGCAGGCCCCTGTGGCGTGCCAAATAGCATGGACAAGCTGCTGCCAGGATATGCTCCACCGCAGTCAAAGCCCCGGTATTTCTTCCTCTACAAACAGGGTCTCCCTGTTCGTCTTGTTGCCATCTGGGCTCCAGCACTTCTACATCTTACCTCTCCTGGCCTTCCTCGCTCTAGGAGGCCTCTCGCTGGAGTACAAACACCAACACCTGCCACTCGACCTATCCACACTGCTGACAGGTATTGCCCTCCGTCGACTACGAATCGATCCAGTCAGACCCCGGGCACGACGACGTACCCCAGGCTATGCCCTCGCCCTATCCTGTTCCTCTCGACTCTGCTAGCCCTCCCAAGGTCGATCTGGGGAGTGCCATCTGCACACCCCCTGCACACTACAGTAGCGCGTCCCTCAGGGACCCTCAATCAGGCTACCGTCAATTCCAATGAGTACACATTTGCCAGGAAGAGATCCTACAAACGTGCCTTACGTCGTGCTTCACAAGACCAGGCACAGCATACGATTTATCGAGGTCGTGTATGTACTCTGCAACAGCTTTGCAAAGGCTATCGGGGCCATCGACCCGCCCCCCAGGCTGAGCGTCGTATGCAGCAGGCCGCTCTGAAAGTCTCTCAGGGACGCCTGTTGTTCCTCTCATGGAATGCTGGAGGACTGTCCCAGGCCCTGTGGCAGGAACTCTTGTTAACACTTGAAAATATGCCACCTGACGAACGACCCCAGATCGTGTGTGTTCAAGAAACTCATTGGACGGAAAAGGTGGCGCCACAATTCCCCACTGCTACATGGGATGTGTACACCTCCCCAACCACAGACAACAAATCTGCCGGGCTCCTGATTCTTCTCAACAAGCATACTACCCGTCACTGCAGAATTGTTTACGCCGACCCACAACCGGGCAGGGTGCAACACTTGAGGATACTCCACGACCAATGGGCAGTTGACCTGCTGCACATCTACCAAAAGCCGCACAACTCTCATCCACTTGCACTGCAATCCTCCAAAACCATTCGCTTAGCTGTCTGGGAGTGCATTGGTAAGATCCTGGCGGCTCTGCCTGCCCGCAACACAGTGATCATGCTTGGAGATTTTAATACTCAGATCAAGCCGTGTGCCGCAGCCGGCACCAGGATCTGTTCAGGCACCAGCACGGGCACACATCCGCCTGATCAGGCACGGTTGCAGCATCTTGTTGAGGACTTCTCCCTCCTACACCTTAACTCATGGTGCAAGGCGGCTGGCCCCACGTACCATCACAACAAAGGTGCTAGCCTCATTGATCATATCATCATGCGTTCCAGCCAAGCAGATGATCGTGCTAGGCAGGCGAGACCTCTCCGCCTGGGACTGGCTGCCTGGAGACTTGGTGGATATCACCTACCACTGAAGGCCAGCGTCCCGCTTCAGCGCTTCCACACTCTTAACAAACCGGTGGCACCACAACGAGCATGGGACCATTGGGGCCTGATTCAGGTTTGCCGCTCTACCTGGGATCCGCGGGTTCAAAGTCTGCGTTCTGCTGTTCAGGCGTCCCTGCCTGGGGTCAATGACCTTGGGCAATTGCATGACACTCTGATCCACTGTGCATCCCAATTTTTCCCGCCGCCCGCAGGACAGCATCGGCTGGCACTATGGCAAACACCGCCTATGCAGGATGGTATTCGCTCCATGTGGCAGGCCTACCGAGTCTGGAAGACAGCCAAAGCTCAAGATCAGCACAATCCGCTTTATGTCTCCAGGTGCTATCATCACTTCAAGACGGCACACAAGGCCTTTCGTCGTGCCGGGAAAGAAGCCAAGAAGCACTGGTTCCATGGCAGGCTCCAGGAACTACAGGCTGCTGCCAGTTCAGGTGACTCCCGCAAGCTTTATGCTGGCATTCGCACACTAGCTCCCAAATCCTCCAAGCCGAAGGTTCAATTGCGAGATTCTGGTGGACATCTGCAAGACCCCAAGACCCAGCTTAAACAGCTGGAAACGCACTATCGCAAATTATATGCTGCAGACGAGGACACCAGCATCCAGGGCCCCCAGCGGACGCCCATTCACATTGAAGTCACGGAGGCAGAAATGACCCTGGCACTTTCGCAATTGTCACCCCACAAAGCTACACCTCCGCATCTAGCCACAAACTCTCTATGGAGGCTGACCTCGGACCTTGTTGCGCCTCTCTTGTGCCAATGGTGCCGGCAATGGCCTCAAATACCTGAGCTTTGGCGAAATGCATGGTTGACTCTTGTTCCCAAGATTCCGCGACCACTTTCACCAAAGAATCTCAGACCGATAGGGTTAACTGAATCCAGTGGCCGCGCATATGCTTCCATACTGCAGGCGAAATTGCGCCCCTATGCCGAGAGGTTCCTTGCGGATCAGGCACAATTTGCATATTTGCCAGGTCGCAATGCTGCCCAAGCCATACATCGGGTTGCTGCACACTGCAAATATGTCCAGGATCGCTGCTCGATTTCAACACCTACGGTTGTTGATCGTCACGCTCAACAGCCGAAACCCTGCCCACATTTTGCAGGTGCACAACTATCGCTGGACCTGTCCAGTGCTTTTGACCTCATGGACTGGCGCCTGCTGGACAAGGCTTTACTTGCGTCCGAAGTTCCGGCTGAGCTAAGACACCAAATCATGTCCTGGCACTCTGAAATCTCCTATGTCCTTACCCACCTTGGACACACTGCCAAGGTGGAGGCCCAAAGAGGACTTAGACAAGGGTGTAAACTGGCTCCGTTGCTCTGGACCCTAGCCCTGGCACAGATATATCGTGAGCTTCTTGCCGAGGGGGACCCGCTCCTCACAGCACCTTGGCTAGAGCAAAGCTCCACGATTTATGCAGATGATATACACCTCAAGGATACTGTGCAGACCACTCGTGAGCTGGACGACATGGTGTATCGCTTTAGTAAGATCCTCGATGCTCTTGCCGCCCATGGTATGGTCATCAACTCGGCCAAATCAGCATTGCTACTGAGACACAAGGGCAGTTTCATCAGAGGCTGGCTGCGCCGACACCTCATACCCAAACCCGAGGGGGATCTACTCCGCTTTCGCAGCCCCCTGGGAACGGTGTATGAAATTCCGTTGCGTGACCATCACACGTACTTAGGCATACGCATCTCATATCATTCACAGGCCAAACAAGCAGTCACCTATCGGCTACAGGCTGCGAACCAGGCCTGGCAAAGACTCCGTGGTGTACTGTGCTCCACCAGGCATCTTGCTCAGACACATCGTCTCAGTCTATGGAAATCCACAGTGCTTCCCACGCTGCTCTATGGCATCGCGGCATCCAACCCAGGTGCCAAGGACATCCAGCGTATGCAGCACATGATGACCAAGCAGGTTCGAGCCATCACCCGATCCTTTGCACATCTTCAGAAAGAATCCACACAGGACCTTTTGCACAGATGCTCCCTGTCCACCATCTTGGAGCATCTGCAGAGGGAAGCCGCTGCCTTGCATCGTAGCCTGACCAGCCTAAGCACTGAAACGAGCTTCGTGACCCAAGCCCAGGTGGAATCAGCTCGAGACACTGCCGCTACACTCCACCTTCAAGTGCAACGTCAATGGCAGGTACCTCTTGGGGACACAGAAGGCATCACTGACCCTGCCGTACACCAGTGCCAGGAATGTCATCGGGTCTTTACCTCCTTTCGGCTCCTCCGCTCCCACGAGGCTAAGTGGCATGGACTCAAAACACCTGCTGCTGTCCCGGTGCCTTTTGACAGGTATGCACATGGAACAGAAGGACTTCCAACGTGCAGACACTGTGCCCATCCCTTCCGACAATGGGACGGCCTCGTCAAGCACATTAAACGCAATCGGTGTCAGGTACTCCGTAGACTTGCTACACAACCTCCTGCCGATGCCCCACCCTTGGCTCCGAGCTCCAATGAATCCGATCCTTTATCAGTCCCTGCCCCGGCTATCCTGCCACCTCAGGACCTCTCTCAGGGGACCTACATCCTGTCAGACGATCAGGCTGCTATGCCCCCTCCTGCTCCTGCCGTTATACCTGAACCCCCTGTCTTAGACGTTCCCCTGCAGGACAGCTCCACTACGCCGAGCCATGAGGCTGTTCCTCTTCATCAACAATCTCATGTTCTTGAGACACTACGTGCACGCAGGTGGACTGACCTCCTTGAGAAACCGGAGATCTACTCGTATCTCCAGCACCACTGCCCGCTGTGTTACCAGTGGCTAGCCACTCCTACCAGCATCAAGTATCATCTCACCATGCAACATCCAGAGTGGAAAGACTGCCAACCTGCGACTCTCAAGCTTCTTACTGGTTTCCGCCGACATACTGTTGTTCCATGTCGCTACTGTCATCAGCGAAACATCAACAAAGATCGTCATTGGAAACAGTGTCATGTCTTGCATATCTGTGCATTTCTAGCAGCGCATCATGACGCTCGGCGCGGATCCCATGGAGCTGGACGAACAGGAGAGGCAATTTTGGGCCCAGGCCGGTCCGGTCAAACGGGAACAGGAACCGAGAAGAGATGTGCTGCACCAAACCGAGCACTCCAAGAGGCAGCGTCTGGCACCACAGGACCGGAACAAAGGCAAGGGCAAGGGTACCAAGGGCAAAGGCAAGGGAAAGCAGGGCCTACCAAGTCCATCCAGTGCCAACCCGGTCACGGGTTACACAAATGGTTTCGGAAGCCATCCACCCAATCCCTGGACACAGACTCAGGACCTGCAGCCACTGGGAAGTCAAGATCCAGACTGGATGGAGTACAGGATGAATCGACTATCTCAGCTGGTCCTTCGTCAGGAGCAAATCATCTCAGCCATCCGTCAGGATCTGGTCCTCTACCTCTTTGTACGATCAGGGCCAGAAGGGATGGTACCAGTTCTCTGCGAAGCAGCGGAGAAGTGGAGGAAGATGAAAGAGGAAGAACCCGAGAAGATTACTTACTCCCTCAAACTCATGCTCTTCAAGCAGCTGCTCATCACCCTACACCAGAGGTTGACCAACATGATCGCGGACGAGGATGCTCTCGCCAAAGCCAAGAACCTGAACTGGATCTACGATCAGAAACATTGGAAACATCTTACATGGAATCCTACCAAACAATGTCTGGAAGTCGACAACTCGGTGAGGTCAATACCGGCGGAAGATCTGTTGGCTCAACTGGTTCAGATGAGGAAGGCAGTTACGGAAGAGACCCTGGTGAGGTTCAAGTCCATGCGGAAGCTCACCACGGAGGTGACCTCCGACTGGATCCAATTCCAGATCTGCATGTCACTTCGCCCAGAGGGAGGAGCCATGTGGAGCACGCTGAACCAGTGGATCGGACAAGCATCGTGGCACACCCTGGGCTGCAGGCTCCGTCGCGATCGACCGAACTACGACACCCTGGTCCAGGAAGTGTGGCAACATCAGATGCCATACTGAGTGCGCGCCCTAGTCTCAAGGCCGTCCTTCGATTGATTTTCCACAATCCATCAAATCTGTGCTACCTACACTCTACCATCTATGCCCTTCTGTGGACAATCCTTCAGGCTAGGCTGCATGATGCCTACGTCTCGCCTCCACCGCAGGCTCTTACCATGCTGTGTCCACCAATCACTGCCACACCTAATTGCCCCATTCAGGTGCTCCATTCGGTACCGTGGCTTATGCTGCTGCAAGCTTGGCCTTCTGTACATCGTCAGCATGATGCAGCTGAGCTGTTACAATACCTCTTACCCAGGTTCTCGCATAGTGGGTTCAATGGTGGCTGGGAGGCCAGAAACTTCGTACCTGGAGGTATTGCCACTCTTGACAAGGGGCCTACCCAAGCTCCCATCCCGATTGCGCTACCGGCAGGTCCAAGCTTGGAGCTCCAGGCAGCCATTGATGGGTGGAGTGCTCAGGTTACAGCTCGTTATGCACTGCTGACTCCGTCTCCCATGCTCTGCATACAACTTCAGCGCTTCACAAATGCCGAGGGAGTCATGCGCAGGGACACCAGACCACTGGTTGTGGCCTCGACTACAGTTCGTATGCCACTCTTTACAGGTCTGCACACTATGCAAGTTCGCTATGTCCACTACCAGGTCGTCGCTGTACAGCTTCACTACGGGGCCACTCCTGATATGGGGCATTACAGAACTATCCTACGAGGACAACCGCTGTTTGGAGCAGAAAAGTGGTGGATCACTGATGACTCCTGCACCGCAAAGCCAGTCAGCACAGAACACGATGACAACATATACATAGTGTGGCTACGTCAGGTACTACCTCCTGGTGCCTGACGCTGAGCAAGTGTAGTCTTAGTCGATGGAGCTGGCACTGCCCTCCAGAACCCAAAAGAGGTTCCGATACCCCGAAAACCGGGTTATCGTCAGCTCGCTAGGCGAACCCGGACACTTCGCTGCGTGGTGAATGAATGAATGCTACTGCTACTGCTACTGCTACTGCTACTGCTACTGCTCCTGCTGCTGCTGCTGCTACTGCTACTGCTACTGCTACTGCTGCTGCTACTACTGCTACTGCTGCTACTACTACTACTGCTGCTGCTACTACTACTACACTAATAGTATAGACCGCGTCGCTGTGAGGGTGCGCTTTTGTACTGGTTGTGTTTCGTGTCTCTGGGAGCGCGTAAAACACGCAAAACGCGCACTCTCACAGTGTCCCGTTTTGCATTTTACTACTACTTTTCTACTCATATTCATAAGACTGACTATTGTATTATTGCTAGTCTTAATGCTAGTATTACTGCAACCAGTGCACTCAACGCGTTTCTAGAGAGACCTAGGTTTCCGCTGGACCTGCATAAGCTAATGCTTCCGGACCGCTCGTTCTTTTTTGGCAGTCGGGTGAGAACGACTCGTCCAAGGAAGCGCTTGCTTGAAAAGCAGGGCCTGGGTGGCCTCTACAAGGGCCTGCTAGGGTGCGCCACAGTTCTTTTATGCTTTTTTTGTTGATGCGTGGTACAGCCTGCAGGCGCTTGATTCAGACCATTACCTCCAATGTGCCGGGCTTATGGCCGAGTCGCTTTCAAAGTTGCGGCGAAGACGTGCTGCAGAGCGGAAGGTTGGCTTCTTCGTCTGGCAAACGGTTTTCGTCCAGCTCAGTCTGCGCCAGCTTCAAGTGCACGAACCGGACTGCCAGAAGTGTGAGCCCTAGAGATGCTAAAGCTTGACTTGCTGTATCTTTGGGCTTGAAGCCACCTGTGCGCGAATTTGCCACATGCAGGCTGGGGACAATTGCGGCACTGGTCGTCAACATGCTAGCACAACAGTTGCCTGGAGATCCGTTAATCTGTTTGAGTGGAGGATTTGCAAGTCATCCGTCTCGCAGCTCGACACATTGCTGCAGCCCGCCGATGTCAGGTTCAACCGCATCCTCACGACGCCGTTTGATGTCGTTGCCAATGTGAATCAGGTCCATTGTTCGCACATATTTGCTGTCGCATTTGCAGAATTCAAGCCAGGCAGATCCAGCATCCAGAGGCTTCTTCAGCACCTTCCTCCGGATGGCTCGTGCGCACACCACAGCTCCTCACGTCACGGTCAAGAGCAAACCATGCGTGAGAGTGTCGCGAGAGTCAGAGGCTAGCCTCAGTAGGAACCGACACTATGGCTGAGGGTTTGGGGTTGACTATGCTACAATACAACCAAAAGCCTTGTAGGAAGCCTTAAACCCGAAACTATCCTATTCTTAAAACCGTGCTGCTTGTAGGGTCCATTCTCCCAAATGCCTTTCTCCATAATTTGTCTGTCTCGCGGGATGCACACACGAAGCATCAGCCCACCTTTGCCTGTGCTGCTGCCCAATGGTGGCGAGAAACAACATGCACCGCCTAGACTTCAGACAGAATCGCTCAAAGATAATCTGTTCGGAACCATACGAGCATGGGTAAAGCAGACTGGCATAGCAGACAGGCTCATATGTAGTTGCTCCACAAGTCGGCCGCGCGCAGATGCACGTGCAAGCCACACTGCCAAGAAACATGTTCAGTCGTCTTCGAACACTGACGAGAATCATCTTGCTTGTCCAGCTCCATGAGCCCACCTGCCGACACACGCCTCAACACCCCCAGTTTTGCACGTGCATCTTCCTCAGAGTCCCACAGCTCTGCAAGGTGCTTGTAATATTGCATAGTGCGCGTGCGATCCAATACCCTGCGCTCCAGCATGGTATTGAGAGCGTTCCATGTTGACCTTGCGGTAGCACTGCCAGTCCTCTCGCAAAAAATGCAACCGCAGATCCTCGCTTGCATCTTGGGACCAACTTGTGGACTCGAGGAGATAGCATACTTACACGCATCACGAAGGGACTGCAAATGTAAAATTGGCCCGTCGTTGATGATATCCGCCTCCACATTAGATCGACGTGGCCTCGGCTGTTCCTGTGTTTATCGTATGGCTGGTTGGGCAGGGGCTAAACACGGTTATAAGTGTGGAGCCTCGGCATAGCCATTGAGGCTCGAATCCAGTCGACTCTTTTCGCCCTGGTGTCATGCCATGGATCGGGCGAGTCGTCGATTCGCATCTTACAGATGCATCAGCCTCTGAACTCCTGGGGATCGGGGTCGAAACCCCAGCGGATCTGGCTTTCTTATGGTCTTCCGAAGTTGAGATCTTCGATGCCTTCGTGGATCCTGCCATCCAGTCCCAGGTTACTGCAGCTTGGCGTGCAGCCCGAGTTGAAGCTGAGATTACCATCGCGCAAATACCGGAACAACCGATCGCCAAGAAACATCGTGTGAACCAAATCCAGTGCGCAATAGGTGCCCGACCAAAGAAGCGGGCTGTCCCTCCGGTCTCTCTACTACCAGGGCCTTTCCAGGTACGTTTTTTGCAGCAGCCTTCGTCCCGACAACCGGACCCCGGCGACGAGCGGACACCTATATTGGACATGATGTTCGAAGTCGTTCTCGCTTCTGGTTGCCACAACGTGCTGTTTGGGGAAGAGTTGGTACGGATGCCATTCGAGAGTAGACCATTGTTCGACCGAAAGTTGCAGGTAGTGCCACTGGAAGCCCTAAAGGGGCATAGGAGGGCCTTTAAACGATGGGTCACTTATCACGCAGAGCATTGCCCTGCAGAGATGCCTTATTGGCAACCGCCTGCTCTGACTCTTTCGCAGTTCCTTTTGCATGTCAGCCGAGGCGGACCGACAGCTGCCAAGGGAATTTATAGTGCGTTGAAGTGGTGGCGCGAGGCGCTAGGAATCCCGTTGCCAATCATGGACGGACTAGTGGCGCACTGGGCGGTGGCGGAGCCTGGGCATTGCGCCTCACCTAAGCCACCGATGTCAGTGCAGGTTCTGCTGGCTGTTCTCTCGGCCGCCCCTAAGTTGCGTGGTACTATGGCCTCGGCGGTTGCATGGCTCCGATGCATTCGCGGCGTGAGTCTGATTAACCACACTATGTTAGTACACTCGAGCGGCATGAGCACGAACCATGTGGGGACACTTATTTTCAAAACACGCTGAGTGCTTCCCGGTGGACTGGTCTCAGATATCCAGCCAAGATCCAAGTTGACACTGGTTCCCGCGATTGCCGCCTTCAGCGGCTTCCCAGCATCGCACTTTGCTTGAACTTTGTGTCGGGCAGATCCCCTGGCGGGCCAAACGTGTGCCATCGTGTGCGGCTCGATCTTCTTTTAGTCCGCCTGTTACAGAGAGCTTCAGACTCCGGCTTGTTTTTCCGAGCATCCTGTCTTTCACGCCACGGAAGAAAAAGAAACGACCGTCTGAGTGTGCGAGTTTCCTTCCACGGTTCCTTCGGGCAAAAGACTAGTCCGACCGAATGCAAACGAGTCCGATGGGATGTGTTTTGGACAGGGTGCAGCGGCAACCGACCGCCCGCAGCCATCGGCGCGTGGCGGTAGGGTGCACTTAAACCGTGTCCCCCACCGTCCTGCTGTCGCTACCCCTGCCTCACACGGTGCCACTGTGTTTTCGAGCTCTGGACTCTGGATAAGGTTTCTTGCCTTACGTCCATTCTCCGTTTTCACTTGGGTCTCACTTTTTTCGATGCTCTCCTCCGACTGCTACGGAAAGCTTCTGACTTTGGTTTGTTTTTCCGAGCGTCGTGTTCACAGACATCTGAGTGTGCGAGTTTCGTTTCACTGTTCCATCGGGTAACGGACTAGCAGCTAAGACCCTAGAGTCGGGGTACGCGAAAGATTGTGCAAGGTACTGGAGGAGCCCAAGAACTTTGGCGAGGGTGCGCTGGGCTGTCCCTTTACCTCCAAAAGGCTACGTCTTGTTTTTGCCCTTTCAGGCTTCCCGTCGCACTTCTGCTGTCTCTGAACCCTGCTCTGATGTTTACCCTGGCCAGCAGCTCACGGATGTCCACAGGCAGCACCTAGCGGCCCCAGCACCTTTCAGTCATTGAGGTCGGGAAGCTTTCGGATCTCATCAAGGCCAAATCAAAGCGACGTGCCAAGGCTGTTTCTCAACCCGCCTCATGCTTTTCAGGTTGTTCGAGGTCAAGGGGCTTCCTCCCACTTAAGCTCCCCAGATATGTGTTGCCGGCATCGTTGCCCCTACAGACTTCTGCTGGCTGTTGGCTGAATGCTTCACGCCAGGTTTTGGATTTCTGGAGTGTCGAAGGCTGTGGCCACACTTCTCACCTACCCCCTGATCCGGGCGAAGGCCGGGAGTTGCCAGTAAGCTGACACCAGAAGAGCATGAGGACACTGGCGACGGAGATTTGCCTCGCTCATGCAGGCCGTCATTCAGACGACGGGTGGAAATCACTTGGGCTTGTGGGGGATGCTCGCGAGTTCCTTATCTCTAGTTGGTTTTTAGCGTGGCATGAAGCGATGTTCTGCCGAGGCCCAGATAGTACGACAAAGCGGATGGCTTGGTCTCTACCAAGGTGTCCAAGTCCTAGATTGCAGAACGGGCAAGGGCTTGAATGCCACAAGTATGCAGACACACCCAGCCGAGGTGTGGATCATGAGCTACAAGACAGTTCTCTTCAACTCCTTGATGATGGCTCGGTCCTTGATTCAGCTTCCGTCCTGCAAGTTCTGAGCCGCCCTTGTTGGAGGCGCTAAAGCAGAAGGTCTCTCTGGCGCTGATGAGGCCACTGCTCAAACGTATCTCCAGCTCGCCGTTGAGGGATGGGACGTGCCACGTGCGTCCACGTTCCACGTGCCGGCAAAGGTGGGATCAATTCCGCGATCGCAGGAGGCGGCGTCAGGCGGCAGAGCTTGAAGGCGGAGCCGCAACAGAGTCTTTTCGAAAAGCACCGCATGGCGCTACATCGCGCCCTGCCCTTTCCCGAACTCCCTGCCTAGCATCGAGGCTTCCGCGGTTCAGCGTGGAGCTCACACTCTGCCCTTCGGGCCGAAGCAGTTCGGCAGTGCCTTTTGTAAAGGTGACGGCATGCTGCAGCCTGGAGATGCCATGGGAGGCATCAGCTCGAGGTGGGCTTTCGATTCCTCTGAAGCTCCCGAAGACGCCTCAAGAGCAAGGCGCCTCTGTTGTTTACGTTGATGGGTCATGGTGCTTTCTGCATGATGCTCAGGCATGAGCCCCAGCTTCATACTGAAGCACCCTGAGTTTCTGAAAAATCTCAGCATGAGGCCCACATTCTCCGTGAAGCCCATCAACAGGCCGATCACCTCATTGTTGGCGTCCATAGCCGCGGTCCTAGATCGACGTCTGTCGCGCAACTCTCATAGAATCCGCTGCCCCAGGCGACGAGTGCCATCAAGTGGCGGTTGGCTCCTGGCCGGGGCCACAAGCAAGAGCCGAGAGAGATCGCGAGTTCCGGAAGCCTCGAGGCCGCCCGAATGCTACGCCGCGAGGCTCGGCCGTCTCAGGAGGAAGCCTTGGGCCAGGAGCCGAGAGGAGCTCAGGAGCCGAGGCAGAGCCAGGGCAGAGCAGTGTGCTATGCGTGCGGTCGTCGCTTCGCGACCGCTCGGAGTCCGAGGCGGCGAGCATCCTGGAGCAGGCTCCTTGGGAGGCCCCCCCAAACCGCTCCCCGGAGGCGTCTCTTAGTCAGAGCTCCAAGCCTTCGTGGCGCGAGGTAACACCCGAACTGCTTGATGAGCTGGGCATTACGACAGTTGTAAGCGGATCCGTCAGCAAGATCGAGGACTGTCATATTCTTAGTACTGTTGTAGACAATTTATACTACGGTGGGAAGCTTCAGCTGCATGTTTACATCAACGTACATCAACTGTGTTTGCAGCTGCCAGTGGCGTTTACATGTGCTGGCAAATTAGCAGCCTGAACCATTAGGCCTGGGCAGCAGAAGAGTTTGCGTGGCAGGACTGCTCTGGCAAAGATGTTCCAACACGGCCACGATCTCACAGGCAGAACAGACGTCCCAGTGTTGCAGAGATGGGAGATTGAGTCTTTGCAGCCGCTGTTGCGATGAAATTCGGTCAACGTGTCGCTTGCAATCGTGTTCTGTTTTCGATCAAATGCATGTTGCTGACGACCAAGTAAACGGATGTCAATGCGACTGGGTTGTTATTCCGATGCATCATCGGAAAGAGAAGGCTCCGCAAAGGTACGGAACCAAAACCTCATCGAGCAGATGCTTCCAGTGCAGCGGTGCGATAAGAAGCATTCATGACTTGACTCACGGGGTCATGATACGTGTAGTAGGACTCTCGTGTCCGAAGTTGTCTTCTACCACCGTCTTCTTTTTGCAGAAACATGGGCACGAAACCGGTGATTCGGGGCGAAGCCTGGCGAAGCTCGGTGGAGGAGGGGCAAGATGAGGAAATGAGTTCGATGATCCGGGTAGTTTTGGCGCCAGTCCAGGTTCTGCGCATGTCGTCCGAGGAACTTCTCGCGTGCCTAAACTTCTTACTCGCACAATTTGCACTTGCTCTTGTGCAGTACTCCGACCAGCAAGGACCGCCAGGAGGCACGGACATTGATGCTGTTTGACCAGAACGGTTCGCAACTTGCGATAAATGCTTGTCTCAAGGTACTGGTGCCGCTGGCATCACCGGTCGACCCCTATGCAGAATGTAGGAGGTGCGGCACTCGCATCGATACACTTCCCGGGTGAATTCATGCACTCCAGTGGCACCCTGCCGCCAAGGCGTGGCATCTTCGAGGAGTTGCCGTCGCTGAATGCATCGACTGAGCATGACGAGTGGATGCGCAAGGCCAGACTCACTTGAGTCTGTTGTTTCCTTGTCCGTCTTGATGGACGGATGGATATGCATGCATCTGTCTGCTTCTGTCTGTATAGGCAGGTTTGTTTTTATGCAGGTATGCGTTTCTGCATGCATGCATGTATGCATGCATACGTGCAGGTGTGTATACTGTGCATGTATGGGCGGATGTACAAACAAATAGATGCCTGGGTGCACCGCTTCTGTACTTGTGCTTCCCAAGGTCCGATCCAACAAGTAGTGAGATTCAGCAGCCACTTTTCGTAGTGGTGGTGGTAGTAGTGGCAGCAGTAGCAGTAGCAGTAGTAGTAGTGGTAGTAGTAGTAGTAGTAGTAGTCGTCGTCGTCGTAGTAGTGGTATTTGTAGCAGTAGTAGCAGAAGTAGCGGACGCAGTAGTAGCAGCAGTAGCAGCAGTGGTAGCAGTAGCAGTAGCCGGAGCCATAGCCGTAGCAGTAGCAGCAGGAGCAGGAGCAGGAGCAGGAGCAGGAGCAGGAGCAGGAGCGGAAGCAGTGCAGTTTGCAGCAGCAGCAGCAGCAACAGTAGCAGGAGCAGTGCAGGAGCAGTAGGAGCAGCACGAGCAGTCGGAGCAGTGGGAGCAGTGGTAGCAGCGGTAGCAGTGTAGCAGTGGTAGCAGTAGTAGCAGTAGTGGCACTCAAAGCAATAGCAGTAGTAGCAGTCGTAGCAGGTAGCAGTAGTAGGGTAGTAGCGGTAGTAGCATGAGCAGCAGTAGCAGCGGCAGTGGTAGCAGTAGCAGGAGCAGGAGCAGTAGCAGCAGTAGCAGTAGCAGTAGCAGTAGCAGTAGCAGTAGCAGTAGCAGTAGCAGTAGCAGTAGCAGTAGGAGTAGGAGTAGCAGTAGGAGTAGGAGTAGGAGTAGGAGCAGGAGTAGGAGTAGGAGTAGGAGTAGCAGTAGTAGTAGTAGTAGTAGTAGTAGTAGTAGTAGTAGTAGTAGTAGTAGTAGTAGTAGTAGTAGTAGGAGTAGGAGTAGGAGTAGGAGTAGGTTTAGGAGTAGGAGTAGGAGTAGGAGTAGGAGTAGGAGTAGGAGTAGTAGTAGTAGTAGTAGTAGTCGTGAGGCGTGGATCGTGCATTTGACACCTGAGTTTTCGTGCCTTTTCATAAGGGTTTTCATTAGTATTTACGGTACTTGTGGGCTTTGACTGAGGTAGAGCCAGGACCAGCGGAGAGTTTGGAATATTTGTGTGGCTTCACAAATGCATGCAATGTCTGTATTCATCATCATTCCCGATTTTAGGGTTCAAGCAAAAAGGCGTCTGATGATGATGATAATGAATGATTCTGTAGTTGTCTATTTCGCGGCTCGTGAGAGGGGTTTCAGGGTGTATTTACGGGCGTCCAGCTGGAGCCATCGCGAGAGTTTAGGGTTTTGAGGGTTTGGGTTTTGCAGGTGCACGCAATGTATTCATCATTGTGACGGTCTTATGGTTCAAGCAACCATGGATCTGATGATAATGGTTCTGTAGATGTATGTACTTATCATGCCCCTCCTCCGTCTCTGTGTGTAGCTTTAACCATGCTGTCCAGGTGATGAAGATTGCCTTCTCAAACGTGGACGCATCAATCGACTGGCGAATCCTGGCTTCGTGCTTACACGTAACGGAACTGCCTAGTGCCCAGCAGGGATGTAATGCCTTAATTTTGCGGAGCTGCTCTTGTCAGCACCGGCCATGTTCAGAAGAAAAGCTCCTGGTTGCATGCTGATTGCAACTGTTGCGAAGGTCTCAGATGATCGGAGCCAGCACCTCAGTTTCTTTGTATTCTCACGGCCCGCCGGAGCACACAGCACATGCACGAGCAACAGATGCTCAGGAGCACGGTTTGGATCAAATCCTGGATACCGAGACGAGGTCGAGGGACCCGTCCGGAGACAAAGGTCGTTTTAGGCGCAGCTTCGCACAGTGTTCAGATAGATACAGGGCTACTAGATTTACTAGATGGTGAGAAGCACTCCTTTTGTGATGATGCCAGCTGCTTCTGAACGACGGCTGTTAATGTCAATATCTGGGTGGCCATTCTTCGGGCTTCGTGATCGGGCCCAATTCCAACTTTGCCAACCCACAAGCTCCTTTGAGAAGGAGCGTTTGCCACGACTGTTACTGGCGAAGCTAGACGGGACCCTGTGGCTTTCCCCTGAAGGTGCTTTCAGGATATTGCTTTTTGCTTTGTACATGTGAGAATGCAGGTCGTTTTGATCTGAGATGGCAGTTTGCAAAAGACTTAAATTCGTTTCGCGCTCCGATGACACTGGCTGTGCGACTGAACACAATGTCAAGGAGCTAAGGAGCATTGCTGTGCTGCCTGACATCTAGGAAGCGTTGTTTCCGATTGCTGGACCGCATGGCTTCAGGGTAGGTTTAGGTCTCCATGTTGACGACTCGCGAAAAAACATCCACGCATTGCTTTCACGGCAGAGCAGATCCGTAGCAACTGAAATAATGACAAGGCAATCGGCTTGAAGTGGGCTCGGACATGTCATGGAAGTGCGTTTGATCTGAGCCAACGGTCCCGATACCGGTGCTATTATACAGAACGACGAGGCCAGATTTAGCTCAGCCACGTGTCGTGGTAGCACAGTTTCCAGGCTCATGCTTAGATGTGCGAGCCGCATCACATAGTTTCACTCAATGGCATCGTGATCTGCCGGCAGGACTCACGACGGTTGAGTGTTGGCAAGAGTCAAGTTTAGGCAAGATGCAAGCCAGGCTTGAGATCATGCCCGCCTCGAACGGGAACGTCCCCGCGGGGATGGAGTCCGCGTCGCTTCCTGGCCCGGATAGAATCGGTAGAGACATGATTGTATTCAATCCGCTAGGCCCAAACTGCTGCTGGATATAGAACGAACAGGTGTGCACCCCTCCCAGATATCCTCGCTTCACAAGTTCTGGGATTATGTCTAGGAGTGGCCACGGGTTCGGGCCATGACTCTGGACTGAGATTTAATCCAGTTGAATTTCGAGCCACTCCGCCGAAAATTGAATACCAGAACTGTTTAGCACAACTTCGATATTATTCACAGTTTTGAAGAGTACCGGCCTCGGACGGTATGAATTTCCAAGCTTATCCGCCGAAGGTTCAAGCTCAACAGGAAAGTTGTCATCGACATGTTCTGTTTATCATGGATCGGCTCGCAATCTAGGCCGTTTCAAGCAGTCTCACGCCGTCGACCCAAATCTCAATGTTTGATTCAATCTTGCTTCGAAGCAAGGCTGAATGTGCTAAATATGGAAGCCATTATTTGCATTCGGTTCGTGTGACCTCTACGAGAGTCCCACATATGTAAAGCTCCTACGATATCATAATCCTCCGCATTCTCTACTGTAATCCTCCCTTTCGTGTCCTTTTAGATCCGTCCGTGCGCGCTCGGTTGGTTCAATCCTGATATTGTCACGGATGCCAATGGAAGCAATCTCACCCTAAACCATGTCCGCATGTTTCCTTATGTATGTATGTATGTATGTATGCAATAATGTATGTATGTACGACAATATGGCATGAATAAGTGAACAAAACCTGAATACACATATAGATACAAGAATACATCAGGGAATAGCAGGTATATAGATTCTGGAAGTAAATCCACACACACGTACAATATGTATATATGTATATACAGATGTTTAGATATATATCTATATATAATATGCACACATACACGTACACTTGTAGGTTTGTCTGTATAGATGTGTGCATATATACATACATATATGTTTTTGTATGTACGCAGGCATATGTATATATTTATGCATATGTATGTGTATGCATATACACATATATATGTATATATGTATACAAACCTGCGTGTCTTTGTCTGTGTATGCGTATACGTATACGTAAACATATACGTACACGTACAGGTATGGGTATAGGTATAGGTATAGGTATTTGTATATGTATATGTATATACGTGCATATACTAGTTTATACCTATATATATATATATATATATATACACATATGTCTATATATCTGTATACCTATATATCTACGTATCTACATACCTCCATATATCTATATATACATACATATATATGTACCTGTATATACATATATATATATATATATATATATACACGTACATACATATACATTAGACATATACATAAATATGTATATATATATACATATATATATATATGTATATATACACATACATTTATACGTTTTTATACATATGTACGTATATAAACATACATACATACCTACCTACATACATACATACATATATACATATATACATACTTATACATACTTATACATACTTATACATACTTATACATTTTTACATATATACACACACGCACACACATATATATATATACATATATACATACATTTTCACATTTTTATACATATGTACATATATATATATATATATGTATATATATATATATATATGTATACATACACATATACATGTACGTATATATATATATATATATATGGTCACCCCCCCTCCCCCGTTGACAGACCATGCCCTTTCAACTCAGTCGTAGTGCATGGTCTGTGATCGGGGGGAGGGGGCACTCAGCTTTCAAAAACTCAATTCCAAAATTTCCAAAATTCTCTCCCCTAACTTTCCGGATTTCCAAAATTTCCAAAATTTTTCAAAATTTCCAAAATTTACAAAATTTCCGAAATCTCAAAAATCTCCAAAATTTCCAACATTTCCAAAATTCACAAAATTTCAAAAATTTCCAAAATTTCAAAAATCTCCGAAATCTCCAAAATTTCCAAAATTTCCAAAATTTTCAAAATTTCCAAAATTTCCGAAATTTCCAAAGTTTCCAAAAAGTCCGCCCTTATGTTTTGGGAAAATCCTGTCCACTAGGTCGGGCCGTTTTGGAAATTTTGGAAATTTTGGAAATTTTGGAAATTTTAGAAATTTTGGAAATTTCGGAAATTTCGGAAATTTTGGAAATTTCGGAAATTTCGGAAATTTTGGAATTTTTGGAAATTTTTGAATTTCTGGAAATTTTGGATATTTTGGAATCACTGGACCTTGGAACTGATTCTCAGGAGGGCTGATTGTGACCCATCCGATGACAGACCATGCGCTACGACTTATTTGCAAAGGCAAGGGCTGTCAATACTCATGCCCATATTTAGACGAACATCTCTCTATCTTCTTGTCTGTCTATCTATATATACATATAGGTATTGATACTCCTACATATAGTATTGCCATTGCTAATACTGACATTGATCATTTGTTGAATGCTCAAGCTAATACCAGCATTGCTACAAATATTACACTTCTATAAAGCTTAGTACGAATATGCATAACACAAATACTAACATTGGTTAGTATTTCTATTAGTACTCCTACGCATATCAATAATCATATTCATATTGATAATAGTGTATATTAATACCAATACTAACACACACCTGTATGTATTAATGTACATAAATATGCATTCCACTATATGAAATACAAAGCCTTTAACTCACTCATGTATTCAACTTTTAGAATTTCACGTGGTCAAGAGGAATAAAAATACAAACATTCTTGCGAATGTAAATCATCATTAATATTATAGTACTAACGCTAACACTACTGCTAATACTTAACACAAATTTATACTAACACCAATATTTACATAGCTATTGCTACTCCTACGAATACGTAAACTCTTGTGCGTTAACAGTAGTGCTATCACCAACACTAATACGGACTTTGATAATCTGCTGAATATTCAAGAATGCCACTAGTATTACCAGCATGAACACTCATATTATGGCTAATACGAGTATAAATAGTCCTAATTCTAATAATATTGACATTAATACTGCTACGAATACCAATAGTATATTCATATTGATATGAAAACTAATATCATTACTTATAGACACCTGCATATACTAATGTACATAAAATACATACCACTATCTTAAGATACAGATATATACATCAGTGCATTCATGTATTAATGCTTTGGCATAGGCATATACGCATATACCAATGTAACAATATACTTCTGGTTGTTGTATGAAAATACTCTACGAATCGAATGTGTGACTATACTCATATACGACTACTGCACTATGCAAGAATACCGACATGACAAGTTCGTATACTAATATGCCAACATACTGATATACTTATAAATGATTAGATAAAACAGTTAATATAGTACACATACTCGTATACTAATATGCTAACGTGCGAATATACTGGTATGTCAATATACTAGTAAGCTAATACAGCAATATAGTAGTGTATTCATGCACCAGTTGTACTAACATGTAAACTATACTAGTATACAAGTATGCAAGTATTTTACTGTTCGAATACATTGATGTATTGATATACTAATCTGCTAATATACGAGACTATCAATATACTAACATATAAAAACTAACTAGTTCTAATGTTGATACTAATACTAGCACTTCTGCGAATATAAGCTGCTGTTAAACCTAGCATTAAGACTGATACTGATACTACTCGTAGCAGTGGTGCTGTATTACTGACATTGACACTGGCACTAGCGCTAACTTATCCTCGGAGTTCAAGAGGTCTGCTGTTAAGGTATTTGGCCCTCAGATGAACTAGGCTCCATCTTCGGAGTTCAAGGTTGAGCAGGGTTCTGATTTACATGTATTGGTCGCCGCACCAGTGCAAGGCTCCGCGGCCCTGCTGACCAAAGACTGGATTTCACAAGGCGTGAACTAAACTCGAAAACTGCAGTGCAGGCAGGTCGCATCTTGACAGCTTCCTTAAAGGACTGCCTTGCTTCTGCAAGAACATGCTACCAGCCGCTTGAGATTGTCTGATGTCTACCAGAGTGTCTTTCTCTTTAATGCACCTGCACATCTTCTGGCTTCGTGGGGAATCCGTCTTATGTACATGGTTTCTGTCTAAACTCGACTGCCTCCAATGTTTGGCGATTGTGGTTTATCCCGTTCGTTTACACATGCCGCTCGCAAGTCATTCACGGATCCTCCGGCACCAGAGCCCCTGCGGGCGATGGCGGCCACCCCAGTACCTTACCCATGCTAGGCACAGTTCCGCAAAACCCAATCCTTCCTTAAGGCGATTGACATTGTTGAGTCTTTGATATCTTCCCAGGATCTGGGCATGCGCTGCTGCAAAACATTAGGACCTCAGAGTTTTGGCAGTCTGGGACCTCAAGGTGCTGGGTGACCCACCCTCTCAGAGAGGTCCTAAAGCTTTGGGGCCGTGGTCGGGGGGGTTGGGAGTATCTTGTGGATGGCTTTGAGAAATCAAGGAGGGTCGCAGAGGGTTTATCGCATGAGAAACCAATGGAAGTGGATGTGACCTCGTGCAACAACCAGAAATTCAAAGCTTGGAACCCAGCCGCCAAAACCGAACCGGAATCCCAACCGAACAAAATCGACAAAACCTCACCCACAAATACCTCCACGAACAACAGGAGTAGTACATGCAGCACTAGCCATGGATGCTAGAACAACAAGAACGCCGCCCTCCCCGCCCGATGTGAAGAGCAATGCCAACACCCCGTCAGAAACGTTGTGCAATTGGTCACCAACTACGTAGTTGCATCCTTGAATACATCTGATCGTCGCAGGGCTTGGAAGCTTCACGGTTGTCTGTAAACTGCCAGTTAATGCTGATGGGTTGATGGAGGTGATTGCGTTTATGGTCCGCAGTCGCGTCAGTCTGAGGCTGATCATGCGCAACTTTCCCAAGTCCTGGATGGACAACAAGGGTGGAGACATCGACTCCAAGCTGAGGACAGAGTTTCGAAGCATTTGGGGGCTGCATCAAATCTGAATCCTTTCGCTGTGAGGAAGCTGCTAGGAACCTTTGGCCAACTTTCCAGGCTGCAGGCTCGATCGATCGCAAGAATGAGGTGTCGGTCCTGCGACCGATGCGATGTCACCACAGGTGATTGCGTCTCCAGGCGCGGTGACCACGGCGACTGACACTTGCCTGAAGAGTTCTGATTGAAAACCAAAGAGCATGTCATGTGAGCCCGCAGATATGCGACTTGACCCAGGCGACATTCGCTGAAACTGCCATGGCAGAGAAGGCTGTCAAGGCTGAGATCCGCGTCGTTCGAAACTGCTTCTGACACAGTAGGGCCGGTGCTTTTGCAGGCATTGCATGGTGTGGACATGCGAACAGTTCAGCGCTCAGCATCCGACTCTCGAGTAAATGTGGGCTATCGCAGCAGTGGCCTGAGGCCAAGCAGAAACGAGAAGCTGGCAACCGACCGCCGGCCGAGGCCGACAATAACTCAATTTGGATGACAGCAGAACAGACTGTGCCTTCGTCAGGAGGAGAAATTCTGGGCACAGATTGTTGCCAAGGTGATGCTGTCCTGCTCGCAAGGGCCGTATAGTGCTGGCAAGGATATACTGCAAATTCTTTGTCAGGTTGTTGGCGAGGAGCAGGTGTCAAACGAGCGCACGGCGCAGGACAAGTAATTTCAGGGCAGCGCTAGCGTGATCACTGGATCCATCCATGCGATCCACGAGGCTGCATCTGTAGTAGAGAATTAGTTCCGTGTTGTTTGTTTTGTTCTTTTCTGTTTTTCAGCTCCAATTCTGGCCGACACCCACACCACCACCCGCACCACCCGCACCACCCGCACCACCACCCGCACCACCACCCGCACCACCACCCACACCACCACCCGCACTACCACCCGCACCACACACCACCACACGCACCACCACCCGCACCACCACCCGCACCACCACCCGCAGCACCACCAGCACAACCGCCGGCACCACCACCAGCACAAGCACCAGCACCAGGACCAGCACCAGCACCAGCACCAGCACCAAGCCCAGCACCGCCACCGTCACCACCACAACAACCCTAGTTAGCAATTGATCTTGATTTACTCGTCTTTTCCTGGCTGCTGGTGCACATGTGTGACTAGTTGTTTGATACAGCTTTTTGTTTTATTTTGATCGCCGAGGCTTAATTTTTTGATTGATGCGTATTTAAATTTAGATATTTGTGATCCGTCACCGTGCTTCCGCTTACTGTCAGCCTTTCCCGGAATCGATGTGCGACAGCTAGGGCCAGGGATGCGGCCTTTTCTCTGCAGCGCAGCCCATAGTTCTGATTTGTTAACAGATTTAGGGTCTGCAGTGCGGCTGAGGGGGGCATGTTTGGCGCAAGCACTGCTGGTAGCTGGGCAGCACCACCATAGCCAAATGTAAAAGGTAGCCAGACAGCAGACCACACAGTGCTTTCATGCAAATCATACGAAGCAGTGCACAGACTCCAGAAACGGAGGGAGAATTCGGGAAACACAGAACAGACACAACAACTACTACACTTTGCTGCACAAACACAGATGAACATACATAGCCTCAGCAGACGCAGCACCAGATTTGGAAGGAGACCTACTTGCTTGTGGAAGGCTTCCCCACAAGCTGGAGCGAGGCCCCATTGGGCGGGAAGTGTTGTGCTGCTCTGAGATGCATGGCAGCACTGAATGAAGGCTCAGCTGCGTGCAACCTTTCTCGCCTTTGGTGGAGTCGAAAGACTAACGTATGTGCCAGACTCAAGGCGCCTCTCGGAGCATTTTCCTAGAGGCTTGACACCACGTGCAAGAGACAGCGTCAGGTATGGAAGGGTTGCCCGACTGGTCTTGAAGGAATTCCGCGCGTGTCGGGCATTCCCGTAGTGGCAGCTTCAAGCTTTACCTACCAGGAGCCGGAGGAAATGTCACGAGTCGTGAAAGAGCTCCATGGCACAACGGTCGGCGATGGGGACGTCGTGGAGGAGATTGGGGCTAACTGCCAGCAGTTCATGTCTCCTGTCACAGGTCACAGAGTAGCAAAAAACCCATACATGGCATGTCGGGGTTCACAAGCCGCTCAGCTGCCCCAGTGGGGCAGCAGAGATCTTCGAAACGGGCATGGCCCGGCTGCCTCCTCTGGCCAGCTGCTGCCAGCTTGCCCAGCATTGCAGGAGTGCGTGTTGAACTGCAAAGTTACCAGTGCGGCGGTGCAAAAGAAGGAGGAGGCCAGGATCGCATCTTCGCACCGTTACGTAGCACTCAATTAAGTGCTGGGTTGGTTCATGCTGATAGTGCCTTGACATGAAGGTAGGAAGTCCTGATCCGGTCAGGAAGCGCGGAAGCGCAGAGAGGAAAAGGAAGCTCGAAAGTTGCTGCTGGATGCAATGAGTATACTTGCATCCTGAAAACCAGCTTCTCTGATGTCTGACGCCCATGTTCAACCCCTTACCTCTTGTTTTCATGATCAGGTATCGTGCTGATGTTCGGAAGAGGCGCGAGGAAGCCCGCCGCGAAAAAGAGAAGGTGGAGAAGGATGGAAGTGAACACCCCGACGAAACACAGCACGAGGAGAAGGCCAGCCACTCACACACTCACGCTTGCGAGAGGATTTTCAGGGCTATCGCTTGGATCCGACAGCAGCAGGATGAAGAAGAAGAAGAAGAAGAGGTCGAGGCTGAGCGGAGTGGCCGTCACATACCGTCACGGCGAGTTCTCGGTGTGTGCTGTATACTCGACTCTTCTTGCGGGCCATGCTGACCCTCGCTTCTTCACCTCTCCCCGACGCTGCTGACCACAATCGAAGGAGCCGAAGCCCAAGAAAAAGCATGCTGCCAAGAAGGCATCAACTTGAAGATGATGCCGGCCATGTAATGGATCGTCCATTAGGCGCTGCTTTGTGTTTTTTCGGCTCTCTCTGGGCCTGCGCAGGTCGCAGCACGTTTCGAGGCAAAGCTCTGGTCGCATGTTGCCGTAGCGCAATGCATGAAGGAATTTGAGTGATGTCTTCTTGGCAACGCAGGCGGAGGAGCGTGAAAGAGAGGAATTGCGTCGCAAGGAAGCAGAAGAGGCCTGGGCCGTGACCAAGTCAAGTTATATAGCTGGCACGGCCACACCTCGTCGACGCTTGGTGTCTGCGGTAGGCTGAGCAGAAGAAGGCTGAGGAGGAGGAGGCAGTTGCGGAACGAGCCAGCGCGGCTCTCGAGAACCTTGTCGCAGCTGCGGGTCCTAAGGCCAAGAAGGCAGCGGCTGCCGCCTATCAAGAGGAACTCCGACAGAAGGCCGGGCGAACCAAACGTAGTGGACATGGCATGGTATACCTATGGACGCGTTTGCCTCAAACCACGATTGTGGCGAGGCGAAGGAGGCAGCTGAAAGGAGGGAGAAGGCAGTCGTGCAAGTGACGATCCCACCCGCTAGCCGCCCGCGATGCCTCTTGCCAGGAGCAGCGGGAGAGGGAGGTAGAACGCCAAAAGCGAGAAGAGAAAAGGAGGCACTTCGGATCCGTTTGTTGTAGCATGGCCTCGGAGCATACTATCGCATAATGCTGTCGTGGGACTCATGTGAGTTAGTGCCGAGTGATGCACCTTGATAAAGACAAGGCTTTGGGAGCTGGACCGCATGAAGCGGGAGGAGGCGCAGACTTTGGGACGCCAGTGAACCCTGTCAGGTGTTTGATTCGGGTGAGTCTGCATCAAGTTGTGACGACAGGAGCGCCAAAGGCGAGAAGACAAGAGACAGAAAGCGGAAGAGGAGCGGCTGCGGCGGGAAGAGGAGCACACCCGTTTCAGTGCAGTATGCGTGATCGCTTGACATGGCTAGCTCCGGATTTATGCCAGTCAGCTTTCTGTGCTTTCATCGTCGTAGTTCGAGGAGGATGGATTGGATGGATTCGGTTCTAAGGTTTAGGGGCCCCGTGATCCGACACGTGATTCGCTGTTCGGAGCCGTCGACCCGGTGTGCGTTCACGGCCTGATCTGCTACAAATGAGCTGACCAGCGGATCTACCACTGAAGTCATAGTTTGCATGCAATGTTGACTACGGCGATTCCTCCAATGCAAACGCGGTGTGCAAGGCTGATTGAAACTTGTAGGATGACCTGAAGACCCGGAACCCCCGCGTTAGAGTGCCACAAAAAGTGCCGAGCCCTTCCCGCTTCCCGCTTCGAAGCCAAAAAAAAAGAGCGCCCAGAGCCCAGAGCCCAGGAGGAGAGGCAGCGCCGCGCGGAAGCGCGAGCCGAAGCCGAGAGGAAGCGGGAAGAGGCGCGACCTCCTGCTCTGCGAAGCGGAGCACGATGTGCCGACGTGGGAAGCGCATCTCTCTTCGAGTGTTGTCGCCAGGAGCGCCAGAGAAAAGAAGAAAAGATGCAGCTGAGCTGAACTGTCATGAACACTGAAATCTGAAATGGCCTCAATGTGTGTTGCCAGCAGTTTAGTCTAGTTGTGACACAGGCGAAAGTACGAAGAAAGTCGCATGAGACGCGAGGAGGTGCCTCAAAAATGCGTGCATCGCACTTGCGATGCCTTGCTTCTGCAGGTGAGGACACGGAATGAGATCCAGCGTGAGCTTTGGGAGGACACGAGTGAGAGAGAGAGAGAGAGAGAGAGAGGGGCGTCATGTGCTGTTGTGCAACTAACCTGCGGGGGGGGTACAGTCGGGGTGAACAGAGCAGTTGACTGGGACTGAATACTCCACTTGTGTGTATGCTTTTGGTTGTGCTGCCGTGCCACCCCTGTAACCTAGCCTATCGCACTAAAACAGTGCGTCCAGCCAACATCGGGCTGCCCCCAGCGGGGGGGTCCGCCCCTCAAGCCTGGCGAAAGAAAGAGAGAGAGATAGAGAGAGAGAGAGAGAGAGGGGCACTCCTAGGTAAAGTAAAGGGTCGGCCGACAGACAGTGACCCAGTGCGCACGTGCGCGCGGGAGGGGTACTGCTCCTCCTTGGCTGTGTGCAAGCAAGAGCCTGGAAAATCGTCTTTTCCGTTCGCTGTCGCTGCGCATGTCAAGACAGGTCAATCATTCTACTTATGCGATTCTCGCCTCTAGTACGAGGATTTTGAACCAAGCTCAATCCGAATCTTCAGCGACTGTCGGGGGCGAACAGGTTCGCGGTGGAGCCGGTAAAACCCCTTCACCACAGCCCTGGCAAAAGACAGAGGGGAAAGGGAAGGACAACAAGAGACGGAGCGAAGCTCTTCAGACTTTAAGAAATTAAACAAAACCGCGCCTGCTGTGCCGAAGCTGCCGCCCCGGCTCGTGGCTCTGGAGCAGCTGCTCAACAGCAAACCAGCTATGATGGAGAGGGAGAGGGCACCGCCGAAGAGATGAGAGCTGGAGGGGGGGCCGTTTTTTTCTCCGGCCCCCGTGAATCCACAAGGGCGAGCACTGAACTGGTTTTCGACATTTTATCACGACGACGTCCATACTGAGCGGACTGCGAACGGTCTGAGGCAAACGGAAACGTACGAGGAAGCTCCTCGCAGTACTATGTGAGCTTTCATGACTCGTAGCGTGGTCAAGGATTTTATGATTTGACTGGACACCTCTCCCCTGTTGGACGGTCGAAGACTGCTGACTTCGACCTCCTGCCTGCACAGAGGCCAACATCTCGACACGAGGAAGCAGTGAATGGATGTAGGGCCTGTCGCACATGCGCTGTCAGATTCTTCAAAATTCCAAGCAGTATTTCTTTCCGAAAGGGCACAGCGTCTAGAGTCAGAAAGCTTCTCAGCGACCGGCACGGACGCCGCAAGGGGCACCGTCGGCTTCTTTTCAGGAGGCTGGGCTGTCCTGGCCAGTAACTCAGTGGCTTCGTGCTTTGTTCTGGCTCCGGGGAGCGCTCAGAGTCCTATCGGGTCCTATTTGCATTCCCAAAAGCGGAGAAGTGCAGACAAGACCGTCTCCGCGCGTCGGATTGAGACGGGCCGGAGAGAAGTCTGGGGCATACATGAAGATGGAACTCCATGCAAACATGCGGGCTTGATTCAATTCGGGTCTTGCGACCCAGCTAGCTGAGTCTGTCTCTGAGAGGACGAATGCATGAAGCGAGAAGAAAAACTTCAGCGCCAGAAGCCCAGCCTTGCCTTCGCTTCGACTACGCTTGACACGCAGACACTCAGCGGAGCTGTTGACCAGGCTGGGCGGAAGAGCAGATGCGCATCGCTGCTGAAAAGAAAAGGAAGCTTGAGGAAGAACGAAGACGAAAGCATGAAGAGGCAGCATCCTCAATCCACCAGTTGCCCACGCTAACGTTTGCAAATCCTTCCTGGCAGACCGATCATCCTTTCGCAAGACAAGCGAGTCGGTTGTTCAGGAAATCCGCAAGTGGGAGGAAAAGAGAATGAGACGAGAAGAAGAAATGCAAAGAAGGGCCGAAAAGGTGCAAGCTGCGGGAGTCTGCAACCATCGCTTCGGCAAGCTCTTGTCACAGGCAGCTAAGCAAGCTGCGGAACGCAAGCGTCAGAGAGAGGAAGAGAAGGCCCGCCTGCGCGAGGACAGTCTCGGCCGACGGAGATCCCACAATCTGTCAGCCGTCGATCCGAAGCACGCCGCAGGAGGAGAGACAGCGCAGAGAAGAGGAATTTCGAAAGTATGAAGAAAGCCGAATGAAGAGGTGCGCCGGCACAGAAGTTGACTTCGATAGACTGGTCTGATGCCCAATCCTGACAATGAATGTGCATGCAGACGTGTCAGACAGTCTCGCCGGATGGCCAGGGAAGAGGAACTTCAGCGGTGGTTTATGAAGGCAGGAGTCCTAGGCAGAAGTAGATGCTGGCTGGGAGCATGGCTACATTGTTACAAGGTATACATACACATACACCTTAGTGCCCAAACATTTCTGAGGTACTGGAGGCAAGAGATGCAGCCGAGCAACGAAAGCAAGTCCGTGAGGAAGAAAGAAAAAGAAAGGAAGAAAAGATGAGAAGGACTTGGCTTCGGAGAATTCGGGGTTTAGGGTCTTCGTGACCAGATGCTGGATGCTGCAGGTGGGAAGAGGACCGGATGGCGAGGACTGTGTTGAACTTGCATGCACTTGCTGCCAGTACTTGTATCTGATTTGCCCGATCTGGAATCGGAAGCCTTGACAGGGAAGAAACGAGACAGCGACGAGAGGACTGGTGTCATGTGCAGCTGTTGCAAGTGTATGCTGTGAGCTGTGACAAGGCATGTTCTCTTTATTTGCACTGGCAAAACGTGCTGTGGCTGGCAGGAAAAACGGATGCTCGGCTGATCTTGGCTAAAACCATTGACGATGCCAGTAGTTGACCGTGATGTCTGCTTAGCATGTCGAAGACATTCTTTCCCCCAGCTTTGGCCAGGCGGGTTCGTGAAGAAGAGCGTCACAGAAAAGAGGCGCATCTCACCTTTTACACTGGCAGCATTGCTTCACTGCGTGGGAGAGGAGCATCGTAAGAAGAAGCGTCACAAGCCAGATGGCGATGGTGATGCTTGGAAGGCCTTCATGAGCGCCTTTTTTGACCTTGTTCGCAAGTCTTGCAGCCGAAGGAGGCAGATGTGGCTGGCTGGGCTGCAGCTTCAGTTGGTGAGGACCAGGGGCCACCTTTACCCCCTAGTATTGGATGTGTGGCAGTTGCCGACCTCTGCACCCAACCCATCAAATCACCGCAACGGTCGTAGTTACACGTTCACCCTCACAATATGCAACTCCACCTGCTGCTGTGGCACTTTGCCCCTGCAAGACCTTGCAGCTTCTGCCTTGTGACCTGATGCATTCCCTCCAGCCAATGCCACAGGTAGAAATCATCGGATTGCATTGAGTGCCGAACCAGACATGAACCCAAGGCCAAATTTTGCTCGTGAAAGCTGCCATCCCCCCAACCAAGCTCGGGCATCGTTTTCGATCGCTGTCAACTCGGTTTGGCTGTCTTGAACTGCCAGACTTCACATTGCCACGCTCAAGCACTTCTAAGCGTTTACATGTCGCTGAGTAGCCGTTCCTTCCTAACACCGCCTGCAGGATCCACATCAGGCAGGGACGGGGGCTCCGCAGTCTGCAACTGCGAGGGGACGAGAAGGGGATGTGCAGAGGTCTTTCCGAGCGCGAGGCCGAAGCAACGAGCCAGACCCTGGGACCCAGCAGAGACGCAGAAAAAAACGGAGAGCTGCGCGGCGGTGCTCCGCCCGCGCCTGAGGCGAAGCGAGGGCCCAGTCCACCGCTGGAGCCCGATGACGAGACGGACTTGGACAGGCCTGTAGGGCCTAGGGCCTAGGCTGCACTTGGCCAGGCTGCCGTTGCCTTGCCGCCTTGCCTTGCTTCTTGAAGGCTCCTTGCCGGGACTTTCGTTGAGGCACCCAAGGCCTGGGCCTGAAAGACGAGAGCTGGGCCTGGGCTTCTCCGAGAGCTCGACAGCACGAGGTGCAGGGTCGATCCAAAGCGTTGGCCAAGCCTGCGCAACGATTGCTACCGCCCAGCGAGGAGCAGAGCATAGCAGAGCATGGAGCAGAGTAGGATGACAGTGCGGGTGCAGCAGAGTCAGAACTCCGTTCCGGCATTCTTCCGACTTCCGAGCGGCCGAGCGCTGCCAGGAGCAGGAGACGGAGCTCGATCGGCTTTGTGCCAGCAGTCCCGAGGTCGGTGCTGTGCCTGCTGTGCTGGGTACTTGCCCGCTTACCCGCTTATGGGAGAGACAGGCTGGAGCTCCCAGAACAAGACCGAAGCAGCGGGCCAAACCACCTCCAGTGTCCAGGCAGGGATTTCCTGTTGCTCTCTGCAACGAAGCTACGCTGTCTGCGGCCAAGCTGCCAAGGGATGGGGACGATACCGAACCTCCCTCGGAAGATGACGCGACGGAGCCCCCGAGCGACGAGGATGCGAAGACTCTCGGACTGAAAGCCAAATTTGGCTCTGCACCTCTGGGGCTTCTTTGGGGGCCGAATCTCTCATCCCAACTTCGCCCTGCAGGGAGGCGGAGGAGCTGGAGCCCACGTCCATGGTGGACACGGAGGCGCCGGCCGGGCATCCGGTGCGCCTCGGAGAGTTCCCCTTCTATGCATCAGAAAGGGTGTTCGAAGTTCGAAGCGTCGGTGTGATGATCTGACGATAGTGATACGTAGGAGTTTGATCGCATCTCTCAGCAGAATGCAACCACTCTTACGACTCCCAACGTTGAGGCTATGCTGCATGTTCGCAAAGCCTGCACCAGTCCGAACATGACTACTGCGATGGCCATGTTGCCTCATGCGCGACCGCGGTTCACTGTCCAAGTAGCTACATGTGCACGTCTTACTGTTGGAAATCGTAGGCGGCCTGTTCACACATGGTCACCTAATATCGCAACAGCGAGTGCGAAATGCACAGCGCATATATCAAGTGCATCTAGCACATCACCCATGCATACCCATGCCACGCCGGGATCGTCTGCTCCTCGCTACAAAAATCTGGCTTTCTTTGTCAGCACCGTTGCTAAATATCACCCTTGCGTTCGCTGCAGAAGTTTCATGAGCAGACTTCGGCGAATCGTGCTGCGTGTTTGACCATTTGGGCTATTGGCGCTGTGAGCATTCCTACACGCCCACATCGGCAAAGGCGGACGAAGCGAGGAACATACACTGAATCCCCGGTGGTTGGTCCAGGAAATGCTCGGGAAACGAGTCAGCAGCATGTGAGTCAAGTCCCACAACAGCCGGACAGGGGCAGCGAGTGCTGCTTGCCAGACTCACAGCAGAGAATCCCGAGCAGCGACGCCGACCAGATACTGAAGAAGCTCTGAGGGTCAGACTCTGTGTGTATGTTAGATAGATATTATAACAGAGTCATTTTGTGCACTGCTTTTCGGACTCGGCAACCATTTCGACTAGGCGTGCCTCGCCCCAGTCCCTGCTCAACCCAGGCCCAGCCACGATTGAATGCAGCATCCTCTGATTCAATTTGCTACTTCCTTTCATTCAACCGTGATCAGAATATGATCTGAATAAAAGAAAATACTAGTAGCATCTCACACCTTGGGAACATGATTGATACATCAACATGCTACAGCCTGGTGCGATCCAAGCAGTCCTCACTCACGACAACGTACCCAAACTCTGGCAGAGACTTGATGAATGACATGGCGTTGACCGCTTCAGCTGCATCAACAAGACCGCGCACATCGCATCCCCATGTTATGTTTTCCTCAGCTGGCTGATGCACAACATGTCAACCTATGCCATGCTTATTCAGTCTGGCATGTTTGCAGTCATTCAAAACTCGTTTGCCACATTCTGTAGCACATTCGACATTGCCAGGCTGAAAGCGAGGCTTCTCGGCGGCAGAAAGCGTGCCATTGAGCCTCTCGCGCAGAGCGCAGACATGCGCAGACCAGCGTACTTCCTCGTGACCGAGGCGCCAGCTGAGCCTTTGCAGGTGCCCAGTGCGAGACCAAAGCAGCGGGCCCGGCCTGCAAAGTCAGCTGAGGACCGGGTTCAACACATGGGTCTTGGCTCAAGACTCGTGTTCTGGCCTATCTTTGTCGCAGGAGCTCTACGCAGAAAAACAGCTGGAGGCCGCACCTCTGGCCCTCCATGAAGCTCATGATATCACTTTGCGGACTTGAGACTTTCATTCCAGGCCATCTATCAGCAGGCGGTGCTCTGATATTCAGCAGTTTTACTTGTGCACCTGTGTTCACAGCTTTCCACAGGCCTCACGGCTTGATAATGGAAGGCTCGGGGCTCGCGGATAGCCCCACTTTTCCTGCTGGCCGTGGCAAGTATCGGGCGCTCTGCACTAAGGCACACTGCTGTTGAACAGGCCATGGCAAGGGAATCCAGAGTGGAAGGTTGCAGCTTTGTTGGCATGTGCGCCTGTGTCCTCGTCCTGCTTGGAGCTCCGCTGAAAGTCTTTGACCGCTTTTGGGCTGCAGTGCTGAACGACGGGTCGGAGCGAGAGTATCGTGTTGTAGGATCTCTCGCCTGAGAATGGCTCCGACACAGAGGAGAAGGACCGGACGCCTTTGCACTACTGTATCTGGCACACACTAGACTCGGCATTTGTCGCTGCTTGAGATGGTGCCTGGTTTCGTTCCAGACCAGTTCCCAGCACTGCTATTCTGAATCACTCCCTCAGCACTGTGCCCACGCTGAAGCCATCCGCGAGTTTTCTGCTCTGACCCGTGGAAGCGAACCGTTGAACTCTTTGTCAGTGCACCAGATGTGTGAATCATGCTGCCGTGCTTGTCCGCGCGCCTATGCCAACAAAGAAGAACTGCACGAAAGGGGTCGGTTGTCAGTGAGCTTTTGTCGAGTGTCACTCCTTGGCAATTCAGTCCATGCTGAAGTGCATGTCGTATCTGAACCAGCATGGCGGCACGGGCCGGGTCGCGTATCCTTTTTGTCTTTTTTTTTGTGTCAAAATGTCTTTTTTTATGTCTCAGTTGACGTCTCGGCTTACACATTCCAATGTCTCGGCCATGTCTCGGCCATGTCACGGCCATGGTGAGGCGTCTACGACACAGGACATCTGTTCAGGCCTAGGCCAAATTAGAAACCCGCTCACACATTGCATTGTCTCGGCCATGTCACGGTATGTCTCAGTTGACGTCTCGGCTTACACATTCCAATGTCTCGGCCATGTCTCGGCCATGTCACGGCCATGGTGAGCCGTCTACGACACAGGACATCTGTTCAGACACATTGCATTGTCTCGGCCATGTCACGGCCAGTGTGAGGCGGCCACGACAGAGGACATCATTTCAGGCCTAGGCGAAATTATAAACCCGCTCACGCATTGCATATGCCCCTTAAACTCACTATACCCCCTGAACGTCCTAAACCACCGAAATCCCCGAAACACCGAAACCCCCTAAACCCTAAATCCTTGTCTCGGCCACGTCTCGGCCGAGTCTCGGCTAACTCCAAATTCTAAATCCTAATCCCTATTCCTACTACCCTAAACTCCACAACCCCCTAAACCCCCTGAAACCCTGGGGCCACGACGACGACGAGACGACAACCATGACCACGGCCACGATGACATTCCTCCCTAAACCCTAAACCCTACACCCAAACCCTAAACCCTAAACCAGAACCTTAAACCCTAAACCTTACTCCCAAACCAGAACTCTAAACCCTAGAGCACAACCCAGAACCCTAAACCCTAAACCCTCGTAAGCCCTTAACCCTAATCCCTAAACCCTGGCGAACCCTAAATCCGGGTCTCGGCGGAGTCTCGGCCAAGTGTAAATCCTGAACCCTAAGCCCTATGTCCTAAACCCTTAACCCTAAACCCCTAAACCTTACAACCAAGTCCTTAACCCTAAACCACTAAACCTTACACCCAAAGCCTAAACCCTAAACCTTACACCCAAAGCCTAAACCCTAAACCCTAAACCGTAAAGCTTCAACTCTAAAACCTTAAACCCTCCTAAGCCGTTAACCCTAATCCCTAAACCCTGGCGAACCCCGAAAAAGGGTCTCGGCCGGGTCTCGGCGGAGTCTCGGCCAAGCGTAAATCCTGAACCCTAAGCCCTATCCTAAACCCTTAACCCTAAACCCCTAAACGTTACAACCAAGTCCTTAACCCTAAACCACAACCCTAAACCCTAAACCCTACACCCAAACCCTAAACCCTAAACCCAAAACCAGAACCTTAAACCCTAAACCTTACTCCCAAACCCTAACCCTAAACCCTAGAGCACAACCCAAAACCCTAAACCCTAAACCCTCGTAAGCCCTTAACCCTAATCCCTAAACCCTGGCGAACCCTAAATCCGGGTCTCGGCCGGGTCACGGCCGAGTCTCGGCCAAGCGTAAATCCTGAACCCTAAGCCCTATGTCCTAAACCCTTAACCCTAAACCCCTAAACCTTACAACCAAGTCCTTAACCCTAAACCACTAAACCTTACACCCAAAGCCTAAACCCTAAACCTTACACCCAAAGCCTAAACCCTAAACCACAACCCTAAACCCTAAACCTTACACCCAAACCCTAAACCCTAAACCGCAAAGCTTCAACTCTAAAACCTTAAACCCTCCTAAGCCGTTAACCCTAATCCCTAAACCCTGGCGAACCCCGAAAAAGGGTCTCGGCCGGGTCTCGGCGGAGTCTCGGCCAAGCGTAAATCCTGAACCCTAAGCCCTATGTCCTAAACCCTTAACCCTAAACCCCCTAAACCCTAAACTAGAACCTTAAACCCTAAACCTTACTCCCAAACCCTAACCCTAAACCCTACAACCCAAAACCCTAAACCCAAAACCGGGTCTCGGCCGGGTCTCGGCGGAGTCTCGGCCAAGCGTAAATCCTGAACCCTAAGCCCTATGTCCTAAACCCTTAACCCTAAACCCCTAAACCTTACAACCAAGTCCTTAACCCTAAACCAGAACCCTAAACCCTAAACCTTACACCCAAAGCCCAAACCCTAAACCACAATCCTAAACCCTAAACCTTCACCCAAAACCCTGAACACTAAACCGTAAAGCTTCAACTCTAAAACCTTAAACCCTCCTAAGCCGTTAACCCTAATCCCTAAACCCTGGCGAACCCCGAAAAAGGGTCTCGGCCGGGTCTCGGCGGAGTCTCGGCCAAGCGTAAATCCTGAACCCTAAGCCCTATCCTAAACCCTTAACCCTAAACCCCTAAACGTTACAACCAAGTCCTTAACCCTAAACCACAACCCTAAACCCTACACCCAAACCCTAAACCCTAAACCCTAAACAAGAACCTTAAACCCTAAACCTTACTCCCAAACCCTAACCCTAAACCCTAGAGCACAACCCAAAACCCTAAACCCTAAACCCTCGTAAGCCCTTAACCCTAATCCCTAAACCCTGGCGAACCCTAAATCCGGGTCTCGGCCGGGTCACGGCCGAGTCTCGGCCAAGCGTAAATCCTGAACCCTAAGCCCTATGTCCTAAACCCTTAACCCTAAACCCCTCAACCTTACAACCAAGTCCTTAACCCTAAACCAGAACCCTAAACCCTAAACCTTAGACCCAAAGCCCAAACCCTAAACCACAACCCTAAACCCTAAACCTTACACCCAAACCCTAAACCCTAAACCGTAAAGCTTCAACTCTAAAGCCTTAAACCCTCCTAAGCCGTTAACCCTAATCCCTAAACCCT